GACAGTTCTATTATGGAACTCTTCAACCACTAATTTGTCAGTTGGTTTAGAAGGGATTGGTAACAATTTTTCCGAGTAAACATTATCGGCAGAGATTTCACTTGCTTTATTTGTGTAGAAATTCTCTGAAAGGTTTGTTTGAGTTGATGTGTTGACAGTTAAAATATTTTTCATACATACACTTTCATTCACAATACTCTCTCTCACTGACTGCTGTCCAGTTACAACATTGCAAGTTATGTTGTCCCTCTGCCACTCGATTATCTCACTTTCAGAGACATCCTTTACATTTTTACAGTTGCCAAGGATAATATCAGCAACAGGGTCTGCTGGATTCATTTCGCACCACTGCCGTTGACCATGATCTCTCTTACAGTAAAGGCATGTAACTATTGGACCTTTATCTCTTACAGGTCTGTAGCTCTTATACTCTCTTGAGTATTCTCCTTTCTTCTGAGTATATTGCTTTTTCCTGTATACAGGTTGTACTGCAGCTCCGTAGCTGATGTCTGCACCCCTGTTGAAACTAAAAATGTTTCTGTGAGCATTCCAGTATGCAGCACCTGCATCTTCCATCTGCTTTACTGTTTCAGGTTTTTGTTCAATCAAAAACGTCTTCATGCTGCTAGGGACACTTGACAACACCTTGTCTCTTATCAAAAGATCTTTTAACAACTCGTATGATTTGTTCACTTTCGCCGATGTTACCCATTTGTCGAAAGTGGATACCACCTCAGACATGTAATCCAGAAATGTCTGTTCAGCTTTCGGAATCAAATTTTTAAAGGTATTTCTGTAAGATTCCTCATCTAGGGAGAAATGTTGGAGAATTCTGTCCCTGACAAAGTAATAATCCTCAAGTTTTTCAGTAGGGATTGTCTCTAGTAATTTCAAAGGTTCCCCCCCTAGATGTTTTCGGTAAATCAGTGACCACTCTTTAAAAGGGACCTCATAGTGATTAACCATACATTCAAAATTTTGTGTCCATGCAGATATGGAATCACCCTGTGTAAAAAATTTTATTAGGCCCTGGTACTTTTTGAACGAAGGTTCAGCAGCCTTTATCTCAGCCTTACGCATTTGCACCTCAGCATCTCTAGTTGCTTCTATCTCTTTGGCCTTTAGTTCCATCACCAGCCTTTCTTTCTCTAGGTCTGAATTGCATAACATCTCTTTGAGTCTCAAGGTAGCGGTGTGTTCTAGCTCTTTGTCCTTTATCAACAACTGTACCCTGTCTCTCTCAGCCATAGCAGATAACTCTTTGTCTTTTAATGCCGCTTGGGCTTCCAGCTCGATCTGCTTTAATTTACCAGTGGCTTCTAACTGTTTTTCTATGTTAATAGCCTCAATCTCTTTTAATTTACTAGCGGCTTCTAGTTCCAATTTCTTGAGTTCTCTCTCGTCAGCTCTGTCTTTTCTCTCTTGGTCACGTTCCTCTTTTTCTCTCAACTCTCCATATTTCTTATCCGCCCATTCCAGCACCTTTTCACCCGTCATCCCATGCTGTTTGGCCATCTCGATAAATTCAGCGAGACTCGACATTTTAGTTGCAACAAAGTAATCTTTCGTTCAAAATAATAATCAACAACCACTCAACAAATCACCTGACTAACCGTAGCTGCCACGAACAAAAATACTAAAAATTACAAGTGGCAAGCCCGGAAATCAGTGAAAACAATGCAAATAATATAGCAAATTAATAAATGCAATAACTCGATAGCAACATCAAAATTAAGGGATTAACTCAATCACGTTAGCCCTACAATAGTGAACGACAAAACTTAAAGAAAAATAAATCAGTCAGCTAAACATACAAACTAATCTATGTCTCCTATTTAGACAAATAAGTACAAGCACATTGGGTTCACAATTAACGCGGACAACTATTACTATCTAGCTACTACTATAGATTCAATTCCCAAGGACGAACGCCCCCATAATCTGTCACAAACCTCTGGTATGACCTTGCCGGTCCGTGGCTCGCTAACTAGGCCTATGACAGACAGACTAACCTACAACACACACTGAACCCGAACGCACACAGAGCACACACGACAATCTTTATTGGAAGTACAGGTAATACATAGACAGTTGACTTCCCGCCGTGTGGCCACCTATTGCCTGGACCCTCTGGCTGGACGGGCTTTACAATCGCCCCGTCCCCAGTACGTGCGACAGGCAATACTCTGGTGTACAAACCACAATCCGGCAGGATACGCTCTCTTCTATCGCCACGCTGACCCAATCAAACTGTCACAGTCTCTGTCCTAGTGCAGGGTCAGAGTGTCCAGGTTAGCCACTCTCTCACAGCACATATACATAAATACTCTACACAAGAACTATCCTATCCTAACACAAAACTGTACATAAACTATCCAGTCACTAACAGAAATATATCCTAACTTTAATACTATAACACAACTGTCTTGCTAAACGTTCCTCTCTTCCTGACTGACGCACACCGAATGTCCCTTCTTCCTTCTACCTCGTGTCTCTTAACCCCGTTCACCAGCTCAGTCCCAGAAGCAGTCATCGTGTTACTAAAACACAGTTCAAGCTTTCTTGCTTTATCCTGAGCGCTGGTTTCGCCGTGCGATCACAGAACGGACTCGACCAGTGACGGCCCTGACCTCTGTGTCAACCCTGGGTGCACACCTTACGGTGTGGTACACTGACTGTACTTAATAGGGTTGTGACATATATATATATATATATATATATATATATATATATATATATATATATAGAGAGAGAGAGAGAGAGAGAGAGAGAGAGAGAGAGAGACAGAGAGAAGGTGTAAGGGGGTAGACAGGCGGATGCCATTATTCAAAAGCATTCAGACAGACAGACACAGTTAGTGAGATAAAAAGGCAAGCAGAAAGACACAAACAAAACAGACACATAGAGACAGACAGATAGACACACAGTCTAGTCAAACAGACACACAGGCAGAGTCAGACAGACAGTCAGAAAGACGCAGACCCACTAACACACACACACATACACACACGCACACACACACACCCACCCACACACACATCCAAATTAAGAAAGCATAAAGGAAAAAACCTAACAACTGAACTCAATATCTCTTCAGAGAGATGACATCTTCCGACATAAATGCACCTTTCTAGCATACATTCTTTATGCTTGTTATAAATTACATTTTAAAAAAAGCAAATCAAATGATTTGCCCACTTTGAGAGAATGCCTTCTGATGCTATACCATACAATGCATTTACCAAAAGAGGAGAGGGACGTAGAGAAAGAGGTAGACTAAGAACAATATGGGAAGATAACATCAGAGAAACTCTACAACAGCACGATATGTCTATTATCGAAGCAGCCATAGGAGCACGAAGCAGTACCTTACATCTTCTTGACACCCGAAGCAGTAAAAGAAGACTAAAGGAAGAAGAAGAAGAAGAAGAAGAAGAAGAAGAAGAAGAAGAAGAAGAAGAAGAAGAAGAAGAAGAAGAAGAAGAAGAAGAAGAAGAAGAAGAAGAAGAAGAAGAAGAAGAAGAAGAAGAAGAAGAAGAAGAAGAAGAAGAGAAGAAGAAGAAGAAGAAGAAGAAGAAGAAGAAGAAGAAGAAGAAGAAGAAGAAGAAGAAGAAGAAGAAGAAGAAGAAGAAGAAGAAGAAGAAGAAGAAGAAGAAGAAGAAGAAGGAGAAGAAGAAGAAAAAGAAGAAGAAGAAGAAGTAGAAAAAGAAGTAATCACAAATTGAAATTGTTCGCAAACGAATCGAAAAGCCAGACAACTTTTACTATCACATTTTACAGAACAAATCAATAGACATTTTTAAATGTCAATATGGTATGGTAAATGGGTCTGATAGTAGATTATGTCTCTGGGGGATGAGTTTTCTTATTCAAAGACTTTACACATAATATTAAATGTGACAATGGTATCGACTGGTCGAGGGACTTTAATGCTGTGCTCTCTCATGTGGTATATCCTGGTCTGACCCTTCCTCGACATGGAAAATTCTAATTTGTACAGTTAGTGGCGACTAGACTAACTCCCCCCCCCCCCCCCGCTCCCACTCTGGTCATAGTTGTAAATACAGGAGGTAAAACAGATAGACCTAAGTGTGGGTCAGGCAGTTGGGGAAAGGGGGGGTGGGGGGGTAAGCGCTAGACGCGCATCTGCAGATTTGCAGGCCGTGGGTTCGGATCCAAAATGAGCTGAAATACTTTTTTTTTTCAGAGTGACCTGGCTCCTACGTCGACCCAGCCTTGAGTGGTACCTGGCAAAGTCCTCAAAAGTAAAGGACCATCCAAGTGCATCTTGGTCTATAAAAGATAGGTCTAGCCTTATATACCCAAAACGCCTGAAGATGTGGACAACGATCTTTTACTGCTGACAGGCGAACAAAGGGGCAGGGTGGGGGAAGTGATGGCCCTAATGGGTTTTGGACGCTCGCCAGGGGCTGTGATTCTCATGTCTGCATATAGCACTATGGAACATTACCCTTCAGAAAAGACGGAAATTTGCCGACAACATTGTACCAGACTGGATCGACCCTAGAGTTGTATTGATTGGAAACGACATAACCACACCTCTGCTGGGGTTTTAATCCGGCCCATTATTTTGATGGGCAAAAGCATTAACACCATGTCACCCGGACTCTGGCAATGGCCAAATACTGGACGTCAATTTGCCTAGAAATACCACAACAGCCAAAAAATAAATGGGTTGGTTCTGCATTGTCCTGTAAAGGATACGCAACTAACTTTTTAAAACTTGGGCTCTGGTTTGTACTCTCAATCTCATTTTGTCATCTCAACTTATCGTGTTGGTCTGGCCACTTGTGTGAGTCGAGGTGAAGACTCTTCTCGGTTTGTATGCATTATTTAGGGAAGTTTCCACTGACTCTTTATTCCTACCGAAAGCCGCCGTGGTGTAGATCCTCGCCTGCAGATCGGGAGGTCGTGGGTTCAGGTACTGGCGCAGCCGGACTTTAAAAAAAATGACATTGGCTCTCAGGTCGACCCTTCCTTTAGTAGGTACCAGGTAAAGACCTGAGAAGTAAAGGCGGTACAGACCTGAGAAGTAAAGGCGTCATAGACCTGAGAAGTAAAGGCGGTATAGACCTGAGATGTAAATTCGGTATAGACCTGAGAAGTAAAGGCGGTATAGACCTGAGAAGTAAAGGTGGTATAGACCTGAGAAGTAAAGGCGGTATAGACCTGAGAAGTAAAGGTGGTATAGACCTGAGAAGTAAAGGCGGTATAGACCTGAGAAGTAAAGGTGGTATAGACCTGAGACGTAAAGGTGGTATAGACCTGAGAAGTAAAGGCGGTATAGACCTGAGAAGTAAAGGCGTCATAGACCTGAGAAGTAAAGGCGGCAGTCGTAATGTTGACTACATCCTCACCGTGTGCCGACTCGCCCATAAAATATACGTCTAGCCATAAAATCCCAATAAGCCTAAAGGCGTGGAAAAGTGTCCATTACTTCACTTATCTTATTCTTTACATCTGTTGCTTAATTTTTTTGTGGGGGGGGGGGGGGGGGGGACACTTTTCGTTTTTCCTATTGGTCTATAAAAAATATAGGCCTAGCTATATATGCCCCCCCCCCCCCCCCCCACACACACACTCTAAAAAGGTTAGTGGTGTATCCTTTACAGGACGTTCCAGAACCAACCCCATAATTTTTTGGTTGTTTTTGTTTTTCTTACGTTCATTAGTTTACCATTGCTTTGTGAACGGTCAGCTCTTGGTATCACTGCCGAAACCAAGGCACACCGGCATTACGAAGTGCGTTCGCAACGCCTAAGTCACAGACTCTGCAATTTAATGTGAGAAAAAGAGGGGGAAAGGTCTCCAAGGCACACGAGCCGCTGATTCCACCTGTTGTACTAGGAACTTTTGCAGGAGCGATCACAACATGTGGCTTCCTACTGGCATCATACGTACCACCCTTTCCTCAATCTAGCGGCCTCTTTTGAAAAAAAGTGAAAGGCCCATTTCCATATATTTTATAGACTGAACAGCACTTGATGGGTGATGTGGTCGCCTTTACTATCCATTACTGTTCTGGTACCCTCTCAAGGCTGGGTCGACTAGAAGCCAAAGTCATTTTATTTTAAAAGCCCCGGTTCTGTCAAGAACCGAACCCAGGACCTTCCGATCCACAGGCAAGCGTCTAGCCGCTAGGCCACGCCGCCTCTCTATAAGTCCTTTTACCTGTTCTCTTTGTGATATGTTAGTGTAGAAGTTTCTTGTCCTCTGCTTGTTTTCTGTCTTCTTCAGTCTCCCCCTCTTTCCCATCTCTGTCTCTGTCTTTCTCTGTCTTTTCTGCTTTTCTCTCTCTCTCTCTCTCTCTCTCTCTCTCTCTCTCTCTCTCTCTCTCTCTCTCTCTCTCTCTCTCTCTCTCTCTCTCTCTCTCTTTCTTTCTTACCCAATCTATTCCTCAGTCTAACCACTCTTTGTCTTGTCCATACTCTAATTTCATTCTTTTTTTTAAATTTAAATAATTTAAATTACTATTATTTTCGTATCATTTTATCGTTTTATATTATGTTTCTGATCAGTTGTTCTCAACCTTTAACACAGTTCCTCAGGGTGTGTCGACCTCCTAAGCATACAATCATTTTCGTCGCTCCTATATAACTTTAATCAATATGTGTTTTGCGACCCCTATGAAAGACCCTTCGACCACCACACAAAAAAGGGTCACGACCCATATGTTGAGAACCGCTGTTCTTAGTGTATCTGTTTTAAACAATCACAGACCCACTCACAGTCTGCAGTGGATTAAAAAAAAGGACTTAGTGCTATGGGTTCCAAAGAAAAGAAGACTGCCGTAGTGTACCTATGATTTGCCTGAATACCACGGAATAAATAGAATATATGTATCTAGTTCAAAGACGCATTAGGGCATAGAGCTAACATAATGCTGACCCAAAGATTACTGGATGCAGGTCTAAATTTATAAACGATTACCTAACGATTACTGGAAACAGGGCTGAGAATACCAAAGATTACGTTTATATTACTGGATATATGTCTGAGTATACCAAAGATTACGTTTATATTACTGGATAGATGTCTGAGTATACCAAAGATTACGTTTAGATTACTGGATACATGTCTGAGTATAAAAAAGTTTACATTTAGATTACTGAATATTTGTCTGAGTATACCAAAGATTACATTTAGATTACTGGATATATGTCTGAGTATACCAAAGATTACATTTAGATTACTGGACACATGTCCGGGTATACCAAAGATTACATTTAGATTAATGGATATATGTCCGGGTAAACCAAAGATTACATTTAGATTACTGGATATATGTCTGAGTATACCAAAGATTACATTTAGATTACTGTATATATGTCTGAGTATACCAAAGATTACATTTAGATTACTGGACACATGTCAGGGTATACCAAAGATTACATTTAGATTACTGGATATATGTCCGGGCATACCAAAGATTACATTAAGATTACTGGATACATGTCCGGGTATACCAAAGATTACATTTAGATTACTGGATATATGTCCGGGTATACCAAAGATTACATTTAGATTACTGGATACAGGACTGTCAACTGTCAATTATTGCTTTCATGATCCAACTTTTGCCGTGTAGGCAGGGGATTGGGGGGGGGGGGGGGGGGGTGTCTCTAAGCCTGCGGATTTACGACCACGACTGTGCAGGCGAGGATTTTATTTTGCCCACGACAGAAATATTCCACAACCTTACCGGGGATTGAAACCCGGGTCACCCGCTTGAGAGAACAGCGTTTGAACCGATCGGCCAGACGCTTCTCTGGATACTAGACTGAATACATACAAAAATTACCTTAAGATCACTGGAAACCACATTAGGGCTAACCAAATTAGGGCTAACCATATATGTGCTTTGACCACTTACCACTAGGTGGCTGATGCGGTCAGCAGTACACAGGACGCCTTTATTTCTGACCCCCCCCCCCCCCCCCCCCCCCCGCCGCATCCCCATGTATTTTTCTTTCAGAAAACAGCTCCACATTAATGTATTTCAGACGTTCAAACTCATTAAATTGTTAAGCCTGCCTTTTGCCTGCCATTTGTTAAATTTGCAATTAATTGTTCCCTTTAACAAAATATTAGTCGTAATTCCTTGCTTTTACTGTCGCATTTTCTTTTTGTCTCCAACCTTGATATCGTATCTCTCTCTCTCTCTCTCTCTCTCTCTCTCTCTCTCTCTCTCTCTCTCTCTCTCTCTCTCTCTCTCTCTCTCTCTCTCTCTCTCTCTCTCTCTCTCTCTCTCTCTCTCTATCTATCTATCTATCTATCTATCTCTTTCTTTCTTTCTTTCTTTCTTTCTTTCTTTCTTTCTTTCTTTCTTTCTTTCTTTCTTTCTTTCTTTCTTTCTTTCTTTCTTTCTTTCTTTCTTTCTTTCTAGCTTTCTTTCTTTCTTTCTTTCTTTCTTTCTTTCTTTCTTTCTTTCTTTCTTTCTTTCTTTCTTTCTTTCTTTCTTTCTTTCTTTCTTCTTCTTCTTCTTCTTCTTCTTCTTCTTCTTCTTCTTCTTCTTCTTCTTCTTCTTCTTCTTCTTCTACTTCTTCTTTGCTTTTTCCGAATATCTTATCTTTTCTGGAAATGTAACTAACAGTCTCTCTCTTTCTCTCTCTCTCTCTCTCTCTCTCTCTCTCTCTCTCTCTCTCTCTCTCTCTCTCTCTCTCTCTCTCTCTCTCTCCCCTCCCCCTCTCGCTCTTTCCGAATATCTTCTTTAGTCTCAAATCTTAGCTGTAGACTGTACTCTTGGTCTGCTGAAATCGACACTAATTTATATTAGCTTCTTTTTTTCTACTAGAACATAACGCCCCCCCCCCCCACCCCCCGCTCCCATCTGCTTCTGTATCTGGCTCGCTAGCTCCGATTTCCCTCCTTACCTTCATAACTCCCTCCCCTCACTTTTTATGTAACCCACATTTTCTTTCATTCACTTTATTCAAAGAAAGCAGGCATCCAAACATTAAACTTAAGCTTATTGTTATTAGCTAAATACTAACGATCCATTACAAGCTATCACTTCCATCGCTGAACTGTTTCGTTACATATTTATCAAATCTCTGAACATCTTCTCTCACGTCTCCTCTTAGTTCTCCTCTTTACTCTCCTCACTTTTTCTTTTACTTTTCCCCATCTTCTTCTCCTACTTACTTCTGCCAACTTCTCTTACTTCTCTCTAGCTTCTCCTCAAACATAGTGTCCCCCCCCCCCCCCCAGCTTTTTCCCTCTTTTTTTTTCCTCTAGATGGCGAAGCTGCCCCCAACTAAACCGTGTATTTTTTTTTTTGTCAGCATATATACGTATATATAGAGAGAGAAAGAGACAGACAGACAGACAGACAGACAGACAGACAGACAGACAGACAGACAGACAGACAGACAGACAGACAGACAGACAGACAGACAGACAGACAGACAGACAGACAGACAGACAGACAGACAGACAGACAGACAGACAGACAGACAGACAGACAGACAGACAGACAGACAGACAGACAGACAGACAGACAGACAGACAGACAGACAGACAGACAGACAGACAGACAGACAGACAGACAGACAGATAGATAGATAGATAGATAGATAGATAGATAGATAGATAGATAGATAGATAGATAGATAGATAGATAGATAGATAGATAGATAGATAGATAGATAGATAGATAGATAGATAGATAGATAGATAGATAGATAGATAGATAGATAGATAGATAGATAGATAGATAGATAGATAGATAGATAGATAGATAGATAGATAGATAGATAGATAGATAGATAGATAGATAGATAGATAGATAGATAGATAGATAGATAGATAGATAGATAGATAGATAGATAGATAGATAGATAGATAGATAGATAGATAGATAGATAGATAGATAGCTGGACGGACAGACGGACAGACAATTACACTAAAGTACATTTGGTTATCCGTTCTGTAGAATGTCTGAGACGTGTAGACAAATTGAAGGAATCGACAATTTGCACTTCATCGTTTTCTGCCGGTCTGGCAACCGACCAAGGGAAGACAACTGAGTGCTCAGATATCCAGAAATGGACTGTAGCCCTTAACTCAAACATTGGGGCTATAATCTTGTCACGTCGGGCCCCAGTGTCCGACAACCTTGTTCAATGGTCAAAAATAGACAGGAGAGGGAGAGAGGAAGGAAAAATGACGGGAACTAGAACTCTTCTGTTCAGATTTTCAGAATCTCTAGGGAAAGAACACAAGTGGTCGTCGACCAGGGCGCTTCTAATGGGAGAAAATTTTCTGGACATTTCAGGGTGACTGTTTTCTTTGTTGGGATCAGTTTGTC